AATTAACATTTATCCCTCCAAGGAAAGGCAAGACTGGGTTGCGTAATCTGACATGTCTGGTTTGGTTGAGAGTTTACTCTAACAATTTGGACGAATGCGGGTGAAGTTAAAACCATCACTGGACATGAAATAGAATGGTCTCAAATTAGTAGGTTTGCTGATTATGGTACATCGGTGATTAAAAGAAAAATAAGAGATAATATTGAAATTAATAGTTTAGAAAATACGTTGAATGTGAGGAACGTTGGTAGAAAATTGAATAGGAACTACTTAGGCTTGATTGATAAATTGAAAGAGAGAGAGGCTATTAAGCCACCGTCAAAAAGAAGGTGACTCAATTTGTCCGCTCTGTGATGGTTCTAACTTCATTCACATTCGTCCAACATGTTAGATGTAGCTCATCAACCAAACCACACATGTCAGCATACGCAACCCCAGTCTTGCCTTTCCTTGGTGGGTTAAACGTTAATGACCCTAGACCGAGAGGTTAGGACAAGTGATTTCGTAACTTGACTCACATGCCTACAAGCTCATATTTCATTATCTCAATCATACTTGTTTACAGACTTACCCAGTTTCGGTCAATGCTTTCTCTTGGGTCATTAGGCCTTGAGGATCACAACCTGAGATTGAACCTTTGACAACTCAGATTTAGGAATCGTATTGCATATAGACGCTAACATGCACACATACACATACGCATACACTCGAGCAAATGTAACAGGACCAGTATGAAAGATAATTAAACAAACCAGGCTATATCGGATAATGTTTTTGTTTTAGTGCTAACGTGAGACTTTTACAAAAATGACACCCAGTTCTGATGATGTCCATCATATGATGGACGAAAGCTCAGCACGTTTTCACCCGAAACGAGGGAGGAAATCTCGTGGACTGCGTCAACATGAACATCGTATAAAAGCCAAACGGTCGCCATATATTTGACTAATAATTTTGGAAGTAGGAGTGCTTCTTGAAAAATCCGGACTTTTAAGTGTGTCATGTAATAATTACTTAAAACTGAAGACAAACGCGATACCATAACCAAAGTTATACTTTTTTTCATATAAGTACCCATTAAAGGTCAAACGAGATTCATCCGTCCCCATTTTGGGAGATCAACCAACGAATCTCTTCTTCATTCACTTTCATACGAAATGAAAGTCCCCTAACACTAGTTTAGTATAGACAAGCATGGGATAATTTAGTACACTATATTATGGGAATGGAGTATGCATATAATTGTCTCGTGTTGCAAACTGACATCAGTAATGCTACGATTGCATGGCTTGTCTTATAAATGTTGTTTGACCTTGGTTTCGCAACTTGGTGATATTAGCAGGAAGACCTAGATGAACGCACCTTGTCCGGAGTCCATGTTATGCATGATCATTTCCGTAGTCGGACCGTGAACTTGATACATTCCCAGACGTTTCGCCGGCAACACAATCGACATCATCAATGAGTCCCTTGACCAATTTTCATTCTAGACGGCTATTGACTTCACTTGTCTCCTTGACGAGTTGTAGCTTGGTTTGCTGAGAAAAGCCACTACGATGCTGGCAAAACGTTTGGGAATGTACCAAGTCCACGGTCCGATTCTGGAAATTATCATGCCTTCCATGGATGCAGACTAGGTGCGTCCCGCTATTTCTTCCTGCCAATATGACCAAGTTGTGAAAATAAGATCAAACAACTTCTATACGACGGAAGGAGACCGCGACCATCCTGATCTTCATACCTTATCTTGTCTCAGCCTCGCCGTCTGCTTTTCCATCCGGTCTAGGATGTATTCTCACTTTTGCCCACAGGTTTCTACCTTTATTCTTTTTTTGCTTCGTCATTTCCCTTTTCCCGAGTAGAAATGGCTCTCTGTAGACAAGGTGCCCGACCAGTTGTGTCACGACAGCCAGCAGATTGCCACCTGCGCGGCTCAACTACGAAAGCTGGCGGCGAGTCCGGGCGCTCATCCACCCGGCCGGGCGGCCGAGGTGGCCGAAGTCTGGCTCGAGGCCTGCCAGACGGCTTGGCGAGCGGAGAGCAGAGATCAGAGCCTGCAAGAGCTGGGCGAGGCGTTGCGACTGAGAGTGGCGGACTGGAGAGATCTGGACAAGTCGCTATCCAGAATGCAGGTCGGTTCACTGGCTTGATCCATTGTTTGTCACAGCCACTTGTCGGATCGACAGGACTGCCATTTGGATCTTCGGGAGTTCCAGCACACACTGAACCGGAATTGCAGAAAGATACATGAGATGTGTTTACCCTATTTCGTTTAAGGTGAAGAAGGACTGGCAATTGAATTTTCCCACAATCCCATGAGTATACCGTGTTGTTTCATTGAATTTCACATGGCCTAGCTTTCCTCAAAGCTATTCTCATCCCGACTGGAGTGGACTGCAGTTTCGACCTCGACTGAACTGGTCGCACCAGCATCCCTAGCGGGACTCGGATCAAGACAATGCAGCATATCATCTCGACATTCTGGGGTTGGAAGTGCCTGACCTCTCTTGGAATCAACATCTGCTCTGCGACCCAAGGGCACTCGTGGCAGTCTGGCGTAGTGGCCAACGTGTCGAGGTTGTGTGGTACACTGTCTTGGTTCGAGTCCCGCTGGGGGGGGAATATCTTTTAGGAAGTGAGACCATGTGAAATTCACCAGTAACGTAGGATTGTGGGCAAATTATACTTCTTGTCCTTCATCATCTTAAACGAAATAGGATGAATACACCTCATATGTCTGATTTACTGGTGGCCTCGAAATCCTACTTAAAAACTAAAAATTGCAGAAAGATGCTGTTCGCACACCTCCTGCATGTTGCATTCGAATTCATCAACTTCTTGGTATTTAAATATTCCTCTTTCCAATTATCATTTCTTCCAAACTAAGTATAGGGCTCGCTCATCACCCAGCCCTATCCTCCTAAAGCCTAGTTACTCCTGCTAGACTACACTTTCTACCAATTAATTTTGCCAAGAAGAAGACTCCTTTACTTCACTCGTGAGCAAGTGGAAAACAAATTTTTGTAAACTCATTATTCGAGCTCATCTACATGCTTAAAGGCTCTTTAACCCACGAATGTCAACCCAATCACATATATCGCTGTCTGTTTTCCCCAAAGATCCCGGTTCCCATGGCCGTATGCTTTAGTCAAGTTATATCATGATAAACTACAAATTCATACTACAAGGTTTAGATGAGTTCAGCTGATAAATTGGGCCTAATTTTGCAACACTTGAAAAGCCTTGAAGAAAGGTGGGAGCATACAGTTCCCAATCACAAAACCAATCATCCCTAGCTTCTTTATTCTAATCAGCATGTTTTGTTTGCCACTGAAAAGACATGTAACTAACTCACCAGCATTTTCACGTTCCAGAAATTAATCCAAACTGTTGAGCCACAGTTGCTCGCCGACGCTGGACGACGAGAGCTCACTGCCGAAGAATTGCGACGCTTCGATGAGTGGTCAACTCTGGCCAGGACTGTCGGCGTTCGACTGGGACGAAGTTTGGAGGTTGAGCAAGTCGACAAATTGGCCATTCGACTTGAGAACCTCAACCTTGAGGTACAACCTCCTCCCCCTTTTGTTTAGCTAATAGGCTCCCTAGATGTTGCATTGTTAGGGTCACGGCTATTCCAGTTGCCATAGCAACTGAATTTCCTTTATGCTCACCATGAAAGGCACATTTTTGGCTACACATTTCTTTTTGGAAGTTGTGTCAGTTTTCTTACAATATGAGTTGTGAAGGACTGGTAGATGAATTTTCCCAAAATGATGTTTTCCATTGAATTTCACGTAGCCATGCTCTGCTCATCTGATTGTGGAAAAATTCAGCTACTAGTCCTTCATCACCTCAAACGAAATAGGGTGAACACAACTCATATTACGGATTTACTGGTAGTCTTAAAAAACCTACTCACCAACGAAAAAAGTTGTATCACATGCCAAAGAATTGCTGTGTCGTAAAAGCTGATGTCTGCAAATATACAACAATTTCGTTTACCTTTACAAAGAGTAAGTGAGTTTTGGTAAATCTTCTGAGATAACATCGTTGGGGGGACCTTTACTTCGTATGAAAATGCACGAAGAAGATATTCGCAGGTTAATCTCACCGTTGTACTGCAAACGTTCGGCTTTACTACGACCTGCAGATTGACGCAGTCCACGAGGCATCTTGTCTCGTTTCGAGTGAAGATGGGCTAAGCTTTCGTCCATCATATGATGGACATCGTCGGAGCTGAAACTAATTCTTATAAAAGTCTCACGCTAACTATCCGGCTCTATCTTGCCTCTCATATAATAGCCGAATAGTTTTCTTGGCCTCTTGTTAACGTGAGACTTTAGCAAGAATGAATTTCAGCTCCGATGATGTCCATCATATGATGAACGAAAGCTCAGCCCACCCTTACCCGAATCGAGGGAGGATGTCTAGTGGACTGCGTCAACCTGAACTTCATACCAGAGCCAAACAGCTGCAGTACAACAGGAATCAGCCGTCGTCTTCTGATGAGATCAGCCTACGAATGTCTTCTTTATGTACTTTCATACGAAATGAATGTCTCCAAAAGACATACGTTCGCAAAGATTGATGCCAATTTCGTATGAAGTTTCACTGCGCCATGCAGTGACCGGATAAAAATTTTGACCACCAGCGGGATTCGAACCGTGGACATTATATCTCTAAGACAATTACAGACTCTAGGCAAAGCAGATCTCCCTCAACGTATATGTTTTCGTGGGTGATATTGCACCGATGGGCAAAAATACGCTTGCCATAAGATTTGACCAATTACTTTGGCGTCGTCTACGCTAGTTTGGCTCATTGGTGCACAAAAGTCCCCATCAAGCATGTGAAAGTGAAGATGATATCTTCGCATTGAAAAGCATGTATCTCATATTTGTCGGTAAGACTAGTCAGTTGAGCTTGCACATCAACAGTTCAAATCTCGCTGAGGATGGGAATGAAACAGTTAGGTCAGGCAGAATCTGCGATGAATTGCAATTTCAAATGGCGAAAATAGTTCCTATGGGCAGCACTTAGTCATAGCCAAATGATTACAACATAGATAGTCATAGAGAAAAATGTCTGGTCTATATTTTTGGTCGTTTTCCTCTACATGCTGTCTTAAACAAAATAAAAATGAATTTAAATTGTTTAAAAAAGTCAAAGAATTTATTTAATCGACTATCTTATTCTTTTTTCTGACTACTATTTACTTCATGCTTATGCAATCCTTCTTCTTAACACGGCAGCCGTTCATTCACACACATTTGTCCCTTTATTGCATTCAGCTTTCTTCCCTAAGCTTTTCTTTCTCTTAACTTTTCCAGAATTCTTCACTTGGTCCTGGCTGACTCTCCTTTCTCATTCTCGGGAATAGTCGCTTTTAACCTTTACTCTATGTAGCTTATTGGCCCTAAACTTCTACTCCCCTTTATCAGTCTCTTTTGCTCGTTCGCTTTCCTATGCTTGAATTTTCCGTACTCTCTATGCAACTCGCTTGCTCCTTCTCAATCACACAATCGGCCATCTCTTTCAGCATTGCTGTAGAGACTTGCACTTGGCGTAAAAGTGGATAATGAAGGAATTCGCTGCCTGAGTTCACTGGAACACGTCATTCGATGCTCGTAGATCTGTAAAACGATGTTCATATTGATCGAGTTCACAAGCTATTCTCCCCTATTTCGGATTAAAACGAGCTGATTCTTTGTCCATCATATAATGAGCAGCATCAGATCTAAAAGTCATTCTTCTAAACA